GAAGGGAAGGGAAGGGAAGGGAAGGGAAGGGAAGGGAAGGGAAGGGAAGGAGCTGCCCAGCCTGGGAACAGCCCCCAGCAGTGGCATCATTCCCCTCCCCGATCCCAAAATCCCCTCCCACCCCAACCATCGCAGGGATGATTTCAGCAGTGCTCAGCCCCACACGAGCTGGGGTTGAGGGCGTTTTTCTTCATTCCCAAACTCCTCTACCCACACCAAGGCCAGGGCAGCGATGGAGGCCCAGCCCCATCCCAGGGTATTCCTGGCCCACTCCTACCTGTCCACAGTATGTGCCAGGACAGGGAAAGCGATGGGGGCAGGGACAAGGACTGCCCAGCCCAGCACCCAGCACGCGGAAGCGAAAGCAGGGCATCAGCAGGAGAAGGAAATGTGCCGAGAGCTGCCGGGGGCTCAGAGAACCCACCTGTCCCCCCAGCCTGGTGCTGACAGTCCCGAGGGGACACCAGGCCAACCCACCATGGTGAACAGTGAAGATGTGGGACCAGGACACAACTCCAGGGGTCTGCTCACCCACCGGGACCCCCCTGGTGAATTATTCCCCCCACAGAAGGAGCAGCGGGGCTGTGGTCCCTCCCCACAGCTGTGCCCTCCCCAGGGAGGTGGCATCAGGCCAGGAGCTGGGTCACACAGCCCATGCTGGCCTTGGGGACACCGTTCCCCTGGGACCAGGCGCTCCACGTGCTCCAGCTGCCATGGATAGCACGGCACGGCCTGGCACAGCCTGGCACAGATCACCACATCCCCTCTGCAGGGATCCAAGGACCACCAGGACGATCCAGGTGTCCCTCCCACCACCACATCCCCAGGGTGGGGACCCCGGGGCTGGAGGTGACACAGTGCCACAAGAGCTGGGGCCGCCTGCAGGGGACGAGCCACCTCCATGGCCCCTTTCGCCCCTCTGTGTGCCCATCCCTGCACCCCCCCGCCTCGGTGACACCCCGCTTGTCCCCTCCCCGCCCACCCATCTTACCCGGGGGGAACAGCGGCCCTGGCGCCCAGCCCAGCCCCGCGCTGCGTCCCGGGCCGGTTGAGGTTGTTGAGACCGGGCAGCGCCGCGCTGGGCACGCCCTGCCCGGGGGCGAACCCCGCTCCGGCCACCCGCAGCCCTTCACCCTTCGCCGCGCCCCCCGCCACCACCGCCGGTGTCCCCGTCCCCGGCGGCCACAGGGCTCCCCCGGCGAAGGTGCTGCTCTGGCGGACGGCGCCGGGATAGAGTTTGCGGCGCTGGGACGCCAGGATGGCGTTGGAGGCGGCGCGGGTGCTGTTGACCAGCAGGCACTGGGGACACGAGCAGGGGGTGCCCGTGCTGGCGCCCACCGGCCACGACTGCGATTTGGGGATGGAGCCCATGGTGAGGGGATAGGCCAGGTCCATGCGGCGCCGCAGCCGCCGCTTGCGCTGCGTTTGCCGGTTCATTTGGGACATGCTGCTGAAGTAGATGAGGTAGCAGAAGCCCAGGGAGGAGAGGTCCAGCCAGGGGTGCTGCTTCTCGTAGGCGTTCTGGATGGTAATGCAGATGTCCATGTCGTAGGGAGTCCAGGAGTTGTTGTCGTTCTCCCATTCCCACACGATTCCCTTCCCCGGCGCCGAGGAGGGGTCGTAGAAGTTCCTCCGGACGGGGCGCATGGTCCCTGTGGAGACGGGGGAGGGGTGACACCAGTGGAGGGACCCACACCTGCACAGACATCCCCGTGTCCGTCCTCCACCCCTCCATCCCGCAGGGACCGGGGTACAGAGGCGTTTCGGTGTGCAGCAGCCGCTCTCCCCCTTCACAACAGTCCCCAACAACGCTTCCCTGCGGATGAACCCTCAACCCGCCATCGGTGACAGCGGCTCGGCCTGGCAGCCCTCGGGATCACCGTCCCGGCTGCCCTGGGCAGGGCGATGCTGCTCACCCCTTGTGCTTTTCCCCGTTTGTTTCCATCCCTCTGCTCCAAGCCCTTCCCCACCCTCCCCTTCCCGTGGCCATCGCGGAGCAGGGGAAGCATTTCCCGGTCAGGAGAGGTTTCCTGACAGCTGCTGGCTCTGGCAGCGACACAGCCAGGGATTGTCCCACGCGGCCAAATCCCGGCCCCTGTTTGGGATGGAGCCGGATCCTGCAGCCCCCTCCGGAGCTCCGCAGCGGGGGAGGCACCGCAGCCCCCTCCGCCAGTGCCCCCCCGGCACGGGGCCTGTCTATCCCCTCGCCGGCACCGTTTGCCCAGCTCGATTAACGGCTCTAATTAATGGTCATTAATCATCGGCCGCATCAGGCAGCAGAGCCAGGCCCCAGCTGCCGCCTTGTGCTGAGGCAGCTCTGGCGGGGCCGCGGGAGGGGAGCGGGGGGGCCCTGCTGCCCGCTCCTGCCCGCATCCCAAATCCCACTGCTGGCTCCAGCCACTCCCACCCACACCCCACTGCCCCCTCCCCGCCGGGTCCTGTATCCCACCTCAGTTCCCAGCCCTGCCTCCTTGATCCATGTCCCCCATCCCACTGCTCGCTCTCGCCCAAATCCCACATCCTGCAATCCCGGGATAAACGGATCCCAGACCCAGTGGTCCTTGCAACTGCATCCCACATCCCCCTGCCCCTCGTGTCCCCATCCCAAACCCCACATCCCAAACCCCACATTCCCCTGCCCCTTGTGTCCCCATCCCAAATCCCACATCCCCCTGCCCCTCGTGTCCCCATCCCAAACCCCACATCCCAAACCCCACATTCCCCTGCCCCTTGTGTCCCCATCCCAAATCCCACATCCCCCTGCCCCTCGTGTCCCCATCCCAAACCCCACATCCCAAACCCCACATTCCCCTGCCCCTTGTGTCCCCATCCCAAATCCCACATCCCCCTGCCCCTCGTGTCCCCATCCCAAACCCCACATCCCAAACCCCACATTCCCCTGCCCCTTGTGTCCCCATCCCAAATCCCACATCCCCCTGCCCCTCGTGTCCCCATCCCAAACCCCACATCCCAAACCCCACATTCCCCTGCCCCTTGTGTCCCCATCCCAAATCCCACATCCCCCTGCCCCTCGTGTCCCCATCCCAAACCCCACATCCCAAACCCCACATTCCCCTGCCCCTTGTGTCCCCATCCCAAATCCCACATCCCCCTGCCCCTCACATCCCAGAGGACACTGGAGGACCAGCCCCCTCCCCTTGGCACACACAGCTCCTGGTCCCCAAGGGCCACCAGCTGTGCCCAGCTGTCCCCTGCCCCCTCTGCCAGCCATGCCAGAGCCACAGGGCCAAGCCAGTGTCCCCAGGGCCACCGGGAGGGGACACATGTCCCCGCTCTCGGAACGGGGTCACCTCATTTCGCTCCCTCACTGGGTTTCTCTGTCCCCAGGCACTGCGTGGGCCAAGCCCCCTGAGCCCCAAGCTCCTGCCACGCGTCCCCGTGTCCCCATGTCACAGCAGGCACCAGGAGCACCCTCAGCTCAGGGGACACTCTTGTCCCCGGGCACCGCGAGCCACGCGACAGCCTCTAAACCCTGGGCCTCACCCACGGGCAGAGGTGATGGAGAGAGATGGATCCAGGGATGGGGCACACAGTGCTGAGGACAGCGGTTACACCCCCTGCCATGTCCCTGGGGACACCGAGGTCCCTCTCCCAGTATTGCTGTCCCCCAGTGCTGCTGGCACAGGGACATCCTGGGAAGAATTTTGTCCCCCCAAATCCATTCGTGGCCCCACCATGGGCACACGTCCCCAAGGAATACCCAGCACTGTGGCCATGGGATGTGATGCCAGCTGCTGTCAGAGGATGGGTCTTGGCCAAAGCTGGCAGAAGGTGGCATGGGGACAGCCAGGGTGTCCCGGTGGCTCCCGCAGCTCTGAGTCAGCACGGACCCTCCAGGTCGTGCCGGCGTCCTCGCTGACTCAGGGCTGCAGGTGCCAAGTTGCCCTTTGCCAAGTCTGTGACGGGCTGGAGATGGATTCAGAGCCGGGCTGGATGGCAGAGGCAGGTGGCAGGTCCCTGCTGTGGTCCCCAGCTCAGTGTCCAGCCCCTGGCAGGAGCCACATCCACACTCAGGGGCATTTGGCACCACTGGGGACTCACTGGTGGCATCAGTGACCGGGCTGAGGCGGCACAACCTGGTGTGGGATGTCCCCAGACAAGTCCAGGGGGTGTCACCTGACGTGTGGCAGGTCCCCTGCCTGGCCTGGCCCGGACCCTGCCCTGGGGAGGGATGCAGGGATGGGCAGGAATGCACCCAGAACGGCACATCCCCCACGGCGCCACGGCACGTGCTGGTTTATGGGTCACACCGTCACGGGGACACCTTTAATGGGGTCTGGGCTTGGTCCCAGGGTGGGACCAGCTCTGATTTCCCACAGGATACGTGGCCTGGATGCGCTGCCGCAGCACCAACCGGCACAGCTGCAACCACCCCAGTGCCCAGCACCGCTCCCAGTGCCCAAACTGGGGCCTCCCCCCTTCCGGGGGATGGAGCAGCTTGGAGAGGACAGTGGGATAATGGGACACACCACAGCACCCCATGGAGGGGAGAGGGCATGGAGGGATGTGGGGACAGGTCCTTCTGGGATGGGGTCCATGGTGGATGGGAAAGGAAAGGGATGGAGGAGCCTGGAGGGGTCCATGGGGGGACTGGAGCCCTGGAGAGGGAGGGGAGAGGGAACAGATGGATGGACAGATGGACAGAGGGAGGGAGGGATGGAGGGAGATGGGAATGAAGTGACAGAAAAGTAGAGACAGGGAGGGAGGGAGGGAGGGAGGGAAGGAGGGAGGGAGGGAAGGAGGGAAGGAGGGAAGGAGGGAAGGAAAAGTAGAGATACACTGTCAGAGAAGCAGCGAGAGAAAGATGGATGATGGATGATGGATGGATGATGGATGAATGATGGATGATGGATGGCTGATGGATGGATGGAAGGAGAGAGAGGAGGAGCGATGGCTGTGTGGATGGATGGCTGCATGGATGGATGGATGGAGGATGGATGGATGATGGATGAATGATGGATGATGGATGGCTGATGGATGGATGGAAGGAGAGAGAGGAGGAGCGATGGCTGTGTGGATGGATGGCTGCATGGATGGATGGATGGAGGATGGATGGATGATGGATGAATGATGGATGATGGATGGCTGATGGATGGATGGAAGGAGAGAGAGGAGGAGCGATGGCTGTGTGGATGGATGGCTGCATGGATGGATGGATGGAGGATGGATGGATGATGGATGAATGATGGATGATGGATGGCTGATGGATGGATGGAAGGAGAGAGAGGAGGAGCGATGGCTGTGTGGATGGATGGCTGCATGGATGGATGGATGGAGGATGGATGGATGATGGATGAATGATGGATGATGGATGGCTGATGGATGGATGGAAGGAGAGAGAGGAGGAGCGATGGCTGTGTGGATGGATGGCTGCATGGATGGATGGATGGAGGATGGATGGATGATGGATGAATGATGGATGATGGATGGCTGATGGATGGATGGAAGGAGAGAGAGGAGGAGCGATGGCTGTGTGGATGGATGGCTGCATGGATGGATGGATGGAGGATGGATGGATGATGGATGAATGATGGATGATGGATGGCTGATGGATGGATGGAAGGAGAGAGAGGAGGAGCGATGGCTGTGTGGATGGATGGCTGCATGGATGGACGGATGGACAGATGGAAGGACAGACGGGTGGCTGGATGTTCCTGGCTCCATGCCAAGCCCTTACCCGTGTCCTGCCGGAACTGATGCATGGACTGGAGGTCGATGACGTAGGGCGCCAGCTGGACATCGACCTGTCCCAGCACCACGCTGCCACGGGCGTCCTCCTTCAGCACGTTCTCGATGTGGTGGCACACGGTGGCTGAGTAGGGCCTCCAGCGCCCGTGCTCGTTCAGCCACTCCCACACCACCACGCGGGCCAGGTTTTGGGGGGGGAACCCCAGGCCCCCCGAGGCCAGCATGGCCCCCGAGCCCTGCCGTGCCATGCCCGGGGGACGGCGGCTCAGCCCCGTACCATCCCCCGCCGCGGGGACTCGGGGGTCACCCGGGGCCCCTCCAAATCCTCCTCCCGGCTGCCGCCGGCCGCGGGCTCCCGAGCTCAGCGGAGCAGGCGCTGCGGGGCTCTGCAGAGGCGGGTGCTGCCAGCCAGGTCCCCGAGGTCCCCGAGCCGCCCGGTCCCGCTCCCCCGAGGCCGCCGAGCGGGGCTGGGGCCATCCATCACCCGGCACGTCTTCCCCGGCTCTTCCTGCTCCCCGCGGTGCCGGCAGGGCTCAGGCTCCAAAAAATCCACCAGGACCTCGCAGACTGCGTCGGCTCAAGGATGGCGGTGTTTGTGAACGGTGACGGGGACACACAGCCACGGTGCTGTCCCCGAGACGCCCACTCCTCCTCTTCCTCCTCGTGTCCTGCTGCTCAGCCTGCGTCCTCTCCGGCTCCACGGCTGTCCCCAGCTGGTGCCAAGTGAGGGGGGTGTCACCTGCAAAACAGGGCCACAGCGCGGGTCACCCCGGGTACCGCCGGCCCGGTGGCAGCTGGGGGACCGTCCCCATCGCCCCGAGGGGCCGGCGGGCAGCGAGGCCGCGGTGCCCGCAGCCCTGACAGCGTGGGCTGCTTGCCAGTCCCGGCCGGCTGCTGGCCTCCAGCGTGACAGAGGGGACAACGGGGACGGGGGAAGACAGGCCACCCTGCTGACGGCCCTGGGGGGCTGCTGGGGGTCCCACGAGCCCGGGAAGCCTCATCGCTCCCCCGCTTTGGGTGCCGGGGAGCCCGCGGGCCCCGGATCCCGCTCCAGCCGCCGCTGATTTATGATCTGCACTGCAGGCATCGGGCTGGGGGTGATCCCGGCCCCCCGCTCCCGGCCGGCCCCTATGCCAGCCACGGCAGCCCCCAGCCCCACGGCGAAGGGTGGGGGGCCCGGGCAAGGGGGATCGGCTGCACAAACAGGCGACAGACAGAGGGACAGCCACGGCCGGGCGCACACAGACACACTGACACCGAGACACACGGACACACGCGCAGCCGGTGACACGGACAGACAGCGGGACCGGCACGGACGCACACGGGGAGCCGCGGCAGCACAACAACCCCCCCGCGTTCTCACACACACGGCCACACGCTCGGGCTGGGCTGTGCTCGCACGCACCGCGCACCCCACACGCGTGTGCGCCCAGCCCCGCGCCCGCCGTGACCCCGAGCACCGCGGACGGGGGGGGGGGACCCTCACCCCAGCCCTGAGCCCCCCCGGCACCGTGCGGCCCGAACCATCCCCGGCACCGACAGCCCCCCACAAAACGGGGCCCGGCTGCTCTTCGTGGAGGGGGGGGTTGAAAGACCAGGCCCGGCCCCCGTGCCCGGTGCCCCCCCCCCGCCGCACGGCAGCCCCCCGGTGTAGGGTCCCCCGCCGGTGGTCGGTCCCCCACGGTGCACGGCAGCCCCCAGGCCTCCGGCGCACGGCCCCCCCGGCTCACGGTATCCCCGAGCACGGCGGGCTCCCCCCGCTCGGTGCCTGTTGTGTGCCCCCCCCCCGGCGCACAGTCCCCCCCGATTCACGGCAGCCCCCATCCCTCCGGCGCACGGTTCCCCCGAGGCGCGGCAGCTCCAGCCCCGCCGGTGCCTCGTCCCCCCCACCCCGGCGCCGGGTCCCCCGCGATGCACGGCATCCCCCAGCCCGCCGGTGCCCGGTCCCGCCGCCCCCCGAGCCGCCCCCCCGCCCCGCCATGGCCGCCGCCGCCCCGAGCCGCGGCCCCCGCGCCGTTACCTCCGGCGGCCGCGGCCGCACCGGGACCCGCAGCCGCACCGGGAGCAGCGGCGACGGGCGCGGGGCCGGGCGGCGGCAGCGCTCAGCCAGCGCCAGGCAGCCACCGACACCGGCACCGGCGGCGCGCACGGCCGCGGGCACCAGAGCCGGGAACACGCGCCGGGAACGCGCGCCGGGGAGCGGGGGCACGCACGGGGAAGCGGGAGTCGGCACCGGGATCGGGAACACGCACGGGGGACCGGGCATCGGCACCGGGATCGGGAACACGCACCGGGACCGGGCATCGGCACCGGAGGCGCACATCGGGAGCGGGGTCACGGTCGGGGAAGCTGGGACACGCACCGGGGACACGCACCGGGACCGGGTGTCGGCACTGGGGACACGCACGGGGCTTGCGGTGTCTGCAAGGGCGGACCCGGACGGGGACCGGGCACCCACACCCGAGTGGGCACCGTGGGGACGCTCCAGGGACATGTTCTGGGTGTGGGCATCCACAGTGGGGACACACAGCCGGAGCAGGGACACACACTGGGGACACACACTAGATGGGGTTGTCCCCCAGCTGTACCATCCTACTTGTGGGGACACTTTGTCCCCCCTTAGGACAGGTGATTCCCACAGCCTTGTGGGGAAACTGAGGCACGGGAGGTGGCAGGAGGCCCTGAGCCACAAAGGCACCCCAATACTAGGCACTTCCATGTAATATAATACAAAATTATGTATAAATCTATCTATATATATATCTATAAATATAAATGCGTGTATATATAAATACATACAAATATAAATTTATATATAAAATACAGGCACCTTCAGCCCAAGGGCTCGTGGCTCTGCCTGCCAAGGGACAGATCTGGGGACAGATCTGGGGATGGGAGTTGTGACTCTGGCTGAGACCACGAAGGGACAGACCTGGAGGCAGGGGAGTTGTCAGGGCTGTGCCCATGGCAGGACAGATTTGGGGACAGGGGAGTTGACACTGGGGTTTTACCCCTGGAGGGGCAGATTTGGGAGCAGGGTTAGGGTGAGCTTGGGGGCCGGGCAGCAATGACCTCGCAGTGCCACCTGGTGGCTTCGGGCACGTGAAGGGGGTCCCGGAGGAGCGGGGTCGGGCATGGGGACACCCACCCGTCCCCCTTGCTGTCCCCACGGTGCCAGCCCGCACGGGCAGGGGCCATCGGGGCAATGAGCTGTGCTCGGGTGTCGTGTGGGGCTGGCACGGGCAGGGACACGGCACAGGGACGTGGGGATGGGATGGGGACACGGAGACAGGACAGCGATCTGGAAATAGGACCTAGAGCCCATGGGTGGGGACACAGCATGGGGACAGCTGGGTCATGCCATGGGGACATAAATCCAGGGCAGGGACACGGCATGGGCACCTGGAGCCAGAGCAGGGACATGGAGCTGCGATGGGAACACCAAGGTGGGACAGAGCCATGGCACAGGAACCCGAAGCCCACCCCAGGAGCCCTGAAGGGTCTCAGCCATCAGACAGGGGGTGACCATGGCGGGGGTCCCCAGGGCCGGGCGGGTGTCATTGAGGGCCTTGGGGACAGGATCCTGTGCAGCCGGGGCCCTACATCCGTGTGGGGACACACACGTGCACCCCCCCTGCAGAACCGCCGGCCCCACCCGCGGGCCCCCCCGGCCGCCGCAGCCCTGTTTAGTCTGAGCAGGAGCGTGGGTGACCTTCGGCTCCTGCGGCACCCACGAGGGTAAACAGCACGTGGGTCCCGCCTCAAGGACACCCGGGGGGGCCGGAGGGGTGGGGGTGACCCCGAGCACCAAGGGACACCCATGGCTGGGGGTCTCCGGGGGGAGCGCCCCAGAGCCGGCTCCTCCTGTGTCCCCAGCACGGGGGCAGGGTGGGGGGGATGTGCTGGCGAGACCCCCACCCACACCCCGCAGAGGACAGGGTGGGGGGTCCCGGGGTGCTGCCGCTGCAGGGATGTGCCCCCAGACAGCCAGCCAGCCAGACAGACTGTCTGCAGGGCTCCCCGGTGGGGACCACCCGCGCCCACCCATGCACACACACACACACACACACACACACAGACACACACACACACACACACACACAGTCTCCTTGCACGCCCCGGCACAGGGACCACACACACGCACACACACATGGCAGAGGCAGCTGGAAGAACAGCAGGAGACAGACAGACGGACAAAGAGGCGGACAGGCAGGAGGGTGGGTGGGTGAGCACACGCCCGGGCCCTGCACACACACGCAGGCACAAACACACCTGGGTGTGCACACGCGTGAGGGGTTCTGCGTGTGTAAAAGTGTGCAATACAATGGACAAATTCGAATTTTTTGGGTAAAGCCACGCGCCCACACAGGGAGGCACACGCAGGGTCCTGCACACGCGTGTGTCCCCACGCTCACAGCGCTCCCCGGTCGCTCCCACGGGGACCGGTGTCCCACAGCCGGGCCCAGCCGCGCATCGCGCCCCCTCCCCGGGCTGAGCCTTCCCCTGGCCCCCGTTCCTGTCCCCCCCGGGTCGGTTTGTCCCCCCAGCCTCCCAAATTGCCCCCGCACCCCGTGTCCGCCCCACCAGCGGGACCCCTGTGCCGGCGGGGCGGAAGGAGGGTGAACAGGAGGGGGGGCAGGCGGGGGGTCCCTCCTCCATCCCTCCTCCATCCCTCCTCCTCCTCCTCCTCCTTCCTCCTCCCCTCCCCCGCCTCCCGCTCGGTGCCGGTGGCCGGGCAGCGCCGAGCCCCGCGGAGCGGCATGGCCGGGGGCCGGGGGTGCTGCCGCCGCCCGGCCCTGCCCGCAGCTCTGCCCGCAGCCCTGGGGCTCTGCCTGAACCTCTGCCTGCTGCTGCCGCTGCCCGCAGCCGCCTGGAGCCCGGCCCTGCTGCCGCCCGCCGCCCGCAGGTACCGCCACCGGGGACACGGGGATGGGGCACCGGGGACACGGGGATGGGGCACCGGGCACGGGGATGGGGCACCGGGCACGGGGCAGCATCGCCTGCTGGGCTGGGGGGTTCCGGGGGGCACCAGGCACCGGCGGGTACCGGGTACCGAGGGCTTGGCACCGGGGGCATCAGGGACCCGGGACACCAGGGACGTAGGGATGTGGGCACCTGGGAGATTCCTGGGATCTGGGGGTGCCAGGGATCCAAGGTATCAGGCATGGGGGTGTCGGCTGTCAGGGGCATCAGGCACGGCGTTCTGTGGGTACTGGGGGGCTGTGTCCCGGCCGTGGGGGCACCATGGACCGGGGGGCACCGGCTGCTGGGCACTCCAGGGAGGGGCAGGCTGGGGGTACTGCGCCATACTGGAGTTAGCTGGACTTGCTGGGGCCGGGAGTTCCTGGAGCCGGCAGGACTTACTGGGGGGTTACTGGGTCTAACTGGACCGACTGGGGGGTTACTGGGTCTGACTGGACCGACTGGGGGGATCAGAGCTGCCAGGCTCAGCAGGGTGCAGGGAGGTGCTGGGGCTACCGGGGCATTTTGGGATTCAGGGGCTGCCTGGGCATACTGGGGCTGGGCTTACTGGGGCCACTGGGATGGACTGTTGGGGCTGCTGGGCGTCCTGGCACTACTGCTGGAACTCCTGGGGCTGCCTGGGCGTACAGGGACATGCTGAGGCTGCCGGGTCTGCCTGGGCGTATTGGGATCCTGGGGCTGCCTTGGCGTGCTGGGACTACTGGGAATGCTGGGCATGGTGGGAGTGCTGGAGTTGGTGAAGAGCGAATGTCCCCAGCCCCAGGGTCCTGCCCGTCCCCTGGAGGTGGCCCATTCCGGGGGTCTGTGGGTGCTGTGGGGGGCTGTGGTCGCTGTCCCGCCGCAGAGGTGGTGTGGGGTGGTGTTTACAGGAAACCCTTGTCTCTGGCCGTGTCTCCGGCACCGGATTGCCGGGACCTCCCGGTTCCGCTCGGCTCGGTGAGGCGACGGGCAGAAGCCGCCTCATTTCCCCTTCCCCTCCCGGCCAAGCCCAGGAAGCCCCCGGCGCCTTGGCACAACCCTGCCGTGTCCCCCCGGGACCCCCCAGGCCACCACCCAGCACCCACAAGCGCTCACCCCATCCCTCCCTGACGAATCGCTGCGATCCCACGTGCCCAAAGTCGGGGGCACAAAGCCAAGCGGCTGATTTTGGGAATGGGAGTGGGACTCGGAGCCAAGCCTGGTGTGGGCTTTGCCCCGGGTGGGCACAAGCACTGGCAGCAGAGCCCGGAGCCCCTCGGTGCCGGTGCGGAGCCGGGTGGGCCGGGGTCGCTCCAGGCCACGCGGGCGCTCACATGCCAAAGCCTGCCAGCTCCTGCCCCGCTCCTGGGAGGGCATTCCCCTCGGGAAGCGAGCCGGGACCCATCCCCATCCCATCCCATCCCATCCCAACAGGCATTTCCACAGCTGGAGCTGGCACAGCCCAGGAGCTGGCTGTCCCTCCGAGGGGGACGATGCCAGCCGGGACCCCCGTGGCACGGCAGGGTGGCAGCGGGAGCGTGGCGACAGCCCCGGCGGGCTCTGCGCTTCCATGGCCCTGGCACGGTGCCCGCCTGGGACGCTGCCCAGCCGGAAAGCCCTGTGCCACCCCGCTGTCCCCCCCGCCTCCGGCACCTCCCAGACAATTGTCCCCCCGCGGCGCCCGCTTGTCCCCGCTGCCACCGCCTCCCTCCTTTGCAGCACTGCAGCGGTCCCAAAAAGCTCATTTTTTGACCCAAATTGTGCAGCCTTTGAGTTCGGAGCTGCCGAGGGTACGGCGAGTCCTTCCTGCCGCGGGGACACAGACACTCGGTGTGTCACGGCACTGGTGTGTCCCCCTCCGCAGGGGGAAACTGAGGCTGGGGTGCCCGGGGAGGGGGTGGGCAGAGCCTGGCATGTGGGGCAGAAGAAAGGAGCCTTTGTGTGGGGTGGGCTCGGGGTGCGGGGGGGCTCCGGGCCCCGCTCCAGGCCAGCCGGCGCCAGCGCCATGCCGGGAATGCAGCAGGAACGTGGGGCCCCAGCTCCCCACAACGTGTCAGGGCAGGGCTCCCCCATGGGCACCCCAAAAACCGGGAATGGGATTCTCCCAAGGTGACAGTTCGGGTGGCGGCACCCCCACGATGTCCCTGCGGAAGGGCTGGTGGCATCAGCGGTTTCCCTTGCAGCAACTGGTGCTCCTACACGGTGACACGGACGGTGTCGTGCCACGTCCAGAACGGGACCTTCCTCCAGAGGGTCTTCCAGGGCTGCCGCTGGCCCCTGGCGTGCAGCGGGGGCAGGTGAGCGCGGCCACCGGGGTCCCCTGGCAGCAGGGACAGCCGTGGTGGCCCTGGTGCAGGTCTGAGCGCTGCCCCTCTGCGCCGCAGCTACCGCGCCGTGCTCCGGCCGCTCTACAGGGTGACCTACAGGACGCTGACGGCGCTGGAATGGCGCTGCTGCCCCGGACATGCCGGAGCCAACTGTGAGGAAGGTGGGAGCTGGTGTGGATGGGGGACCTGGGCAGGGTGGGGAGGGGTTGTGGGACACAGCCTTCGGTGTCACTGGTGGGGGTGGGTGAGGAGAAGGACCGGTGGGTGGGTGGGTGGATGATGGATGGATGATGGATGGCCGATGGATGGATGGATGGGTGGATGATGGATGGATGATGGATGGCCGATGGATGGATGGATGGGTGGATGATGGATGGATGATGGATGGCCGATGGATGGATGGATGGGTGGATGATGGATGGATGATGGATGGCCGATGGATGGATGGATGGGTGGATGATGGATGGATGATGGATGGCCGATGGATGGATGGATGGGTGGATGATGGATGGATGATGGATGGCCGATGGATGGATGGATGGGTGGATGATGGATGGATGATGGATGGCCGATGGATGGATGGATGGGTGGATGATGGATGGATGATGGATGGCCGATGGATGGATGGATGGGTGGATGATGGATGGATGATGGATGGCCGATGGATGGATGGATGGGTGGATGATGGATGGATGATGGATGGCCGATGGATGGATGGATGGGTGGATGATGGATGGATGATGGATGGCCGATGGATGGATGGATGGGTGGATGATGGATGGATGATGGATGGCCGATGGATGGATGGATGGGTGGATGATGGATGGATGATGGATGGCCGATGGATGGATGGATGGGTGGATGATGGATGGATGATGGATGGCCGATGGATGGATGGATGGGTGGATGATGGATGGATGATGGATGGCCGATGGATGGATGGATGGGTGGATGATGGATGGATGATGGATGGCCGATGGATGGATGGATGGGTGGATGATGGATGGATGATGGATGGCCGATGGATGGATGGATGGGTGGATGATGGATGGATGATGGATGGCCGATGGATGGATGGATGGGTGGATGATGGATGGATGATGGATGGCCGATGGATGGATGGATGGGTGGATGATGGATGGATGATGGATGGCCGATGGATGGATGGATGGGTGGATGATGGATGGATGATGGATGGCCGATGGATGGATGGATGGGTGGATGATGGATGGATGATGGATGGCCGATGGATGGATGGATGGGTGGATGATGGATGGATGATGGATGGCCGATGGATGGATGGATGGGTGGATGATGGATGGATGATGGATGGCCGATGGATGGATGGATGGGTGGATGATGGATGGATGATGGATGGCCGATGGATGGATGGATGGGTGGATGATGGATGGATGATGGATGGCCGATGGATGGATGGATGGGTGGATGATGGATGGATGATGGATGGATGATGGATGGATGGATGATGGATGGAGATCCCACTGGGTGGGCAGTGGGTGACCAGTCAGGGGGACAGGAGTGAGTGGGATGTTCCTGTGTGGGAACTGAAACAGGCAATGGACGGGGTGTGGGTGGATGGACAGATGGACATTCCTCAGCAGGGCAGTGCCCACGAGGGGGGTGCAGCCCCCCACCCACGGGTGGCCAGGTCCATGTGGGCAGTGGATGAACAGGTGTGAGGCTGTGCTGTGTGGGGGGGGACAGGCACTGCCAGCTCCTGACAGGGGGGTCTTTGTCCCCATTGTCACCAAATCCTCCTCCTCCTCCTCCTCCTTCTCCTCCTCCTCCTCTTCCTCTTCCTCCCTCTCCCCCAGGACCCCACTGAGGGTCCCAGCCCAGCCCTGGCTCTGTGGGACCAGAGCTGTGAGGGCAGCAGGTGGCAGCCAGGGGTGGGGACACCCTGGGGTGGCACCGAGGGTCTGCAGGGCAGCGGGTGACACGGGGGGTCGGGAAGCAGCTGGGTGGGAGCAGCGCTGGGGGAGGTGGGGGGTTCTTCCTCCTCCTTTTTCTCCTCCTCCTTCTCTTTCTCCTCCTCCTCCTCCTCCTCCTCCTCCTCCTCCCTGCGTGCTTGGCCGCCTTCCCCACATCTGGCCCCACTTAGGGCTGTCCCCTGCAGCACGGTGGTGGCCGTGCCGGGGTGGGGTGACAGCGTGGGGGGGCTCGGGGGCCACCTCTGCTCCAGACACCCCTTTCCTGCCGTGCTGGGTGGCCCCAAGCCGCTGTCCCCAGGATCCCTCGGTGGGGACAGGGGACTGGGACCCCACCATGGGGTGTGGATGTGGGCAGCGTCCCCAGGATTGTGCCCCCCACTCCAAAGCTACCCCCATAATGGCGCTGGGGGCCGTGGGGGCGTTTGGGGAGATGGGGTTCAGGCTGAGGGGGGGAACTGGGGGGAGCTGGGGCCGGGTTTGGGGCTGAGATTGGGGGTGATCATGGGGAGATTTGGGGAGGTCTGGTTAAAGACCGTGGGTGGGTTTGGAGGGTCGGGGGGGTCTGGTGTGTGGTCATGGAGGGTTCTTGGGGTCTGGTTCAAGACCACGGGTGGGTTTGGGCAGTCCTGACTCAGGGTTCTGGGTGGGATTGGGGGTCTGAGGCTCACCCAGAGCGAGGGTGGGGCCCTGCACCCCCCAGCACGTTGGAGGGAAGCACAACGGGAAGGTCTCTGACAGGAGGCGATGCCCCACAGGGGGGTGCCCCCCTGCTGACTCCCCATTCCTCGGCAGAGGCTCACACCCTCCTCACCCTGCGGGACACCGGGCGCCCCAGCGCAGCCCCGCGCCGGCCCCCCCTGCACCCCACGGCCTTCTCAGGTGGGTCCCTCCCCAACCCCACCGGGGTGGGCACCGGGGGCTGGGTGCCCCCCTCCCCACCGCCTGTGCCCCCCGATTTCCCCCCGCAGGGTGTCTGAACTGCAGCCGTGTCGGGGAGCTGACAGCCCGGCTCGCCACCCTCGAGGCGCAGGCAAGTCCCAGTTTGGGGTCTGGCCACCTCCCCCTGCACCCCCTGAGGGGCACAAGAGCCCTGGGGGGGGGGGGGGGCCCCCTTGGGCCCCCCGCTGTCACCCACCTCTCCTGTGTCTTTGCCAGGTGGCCCGGCTGGCGGTGGCCGAGCCCCCCACCCCAGCAGCCCCCAAGAGCAGGGACCCCGAGGCTGGGCAGCTCTGGGGGTCCCCAGCCGCCCGCGGGAGCCCCGGGGATGATGGTAAGGCAGGGTGACAGCGACACTTGACAGCACCCGCAGGGCTGGGAGCGCACCGGGGTGTTGTCAGTATTTGGGGGAGGGGCGGGGGGGTGCAGGACCCCTCACTTTGGGAGAAAAGCAAAGCTGTCCCACCCCAGCTGTGACACTGAGGCACCCACGGGGACAGGCCAGCTCTGGGTGTGGGCGGGGGGCACCCCGAGGGGCTGTCCCCGGGGGTCCCCCACCCTCAGGGTGCTGCTGTGCCGCAGGGAGACCCGGCTGGAGGGGACCCCCCGGCCCCAAGGGCGACGTGGGAGGACGGGGACCCTCGGGAATTCCTGGAGTGAAGGGTCCGGTGGGGCCCCCAGGTAAGGGGGGACAGAGTGGGGGGACCCCAGGCTGGTGCCTGGCCCAGCCGAGCCCCCCCTTTTCTGGTGGGCAGATCTCGGGGGGTCCATGCAGCAGTTCTGGGGGCTCAGAAGGGCTCCAGCGCTGCACAGCTTTGGGCACGCCCCAATCTTCACCCTCCTCTTCCTCCCTGCAGGTCCCCCCGGCCCCCCAGGACCACCCGGGCGGGATGGAGCCAGGGGGCTCCCCGGAGAGAAGGGGTTACCCGGGCTCCCCGGCCCCCCGGGCCCCCCTGCCCCTGTGGGGCCGGCGATTCCCCGACTGGCCGAGCCCAGTAAGGGGGGGCTGGGCTGGGGGGGTCCCCAAGAACGGGACTGGGTTGGGGGCTGGGGCAGAGCCAGGTTGGGGGGGCTGGGGGTGGTGTGGGGACCCCCTGGCTGGCACTGGGGCCCCGGGGATGTGGGGCACTGGGCAGCACTGGGGTGGGACGCTGGGAAGAGCTGGGGACCTCCGGCCATCATTGGGGTGACAGGGACGAGACACAGGGGTGAGCAGGGGAGGGGACTGTGGTCCCCCCAGGTGATGCCGGGAGCCATGGGGGGCCCGGCCCCAAACAACCCCCTCCGTTCTCCCCCCAGGGGATCCTGTCCTCTCCAACACCTTCACCGAAGCCACCAGGAGCATCACGGGTCCCGTGGGACCCCCCGGACCCGTGGGGCCAATGGGTGAGGGTGTCCCCCCCTTCCCTTGTCACCCCCCCACTCTTTCGGGTGCCCCAAGGTGGGGCTGAGCCGTGTCCCCTCTCCTTGCAGGTCCCCCCGGCCCCCCAGGTCCCATCGGTCCCCCCGGGCCCCCAGGACCCGATGTAAGTGCTGGGGTGGGGGGCACGGGGAGGGCTGAGCCCCAGCGTCCCCCCGAGGCTGATGTCCCCACCTTGTCCCCGCACAGGGCAGAGCAGGAGCTCCCGGGGCTGCCGGGCCCCCCGGGGAGAAGGGGGACAGGGTGAGTGTCCCCAGCCCCGCTCGGTGACACCAGCTGGGTGGTCTGGCCGTGCCCCCCAGGGGTTCTGACAGGCTCTGTCTCCCCGGGTGTCCCCCGTGGTGGCCGTGTCAGGGTGGGGTGACAATGCAGGGGAGAGGTTTGGGGGCCACCTCTGCTCCAGACACCCCTTTCCTGCTGGGTGGCCCCAAGCTGCTGTCCTCAGGGTCCCTCTGTGGGGACACGGAGCTGGGACCCTGCTGTGGGGTGTGGATGTGGGCAGTGTCCCCAGATTGTGCCCCCGACCTCCAAAGCCACCCCCAGAATGGGGCTGGGGGCTATGGGGGTGTTTGGGGGGTGGGGTTCAGGGCTGGGGGGAGATGTGGGCTGGGATTGGGGCTGGGGTTGGGGCTGGGGTTGGGGCTGGGATTGGGATTGGGGCTGGGATTGGGGCTGGGATTGGGATTGGGGCTGGGGCT